TTTTGTAACTGCCAAAATGTCTTGGAATAACATGGGTTCATAAATTGAGTAGACAAATATCTATGTTATAGTAAATGAAAACTACACAGCAAATCAGTGCATTTTGACCACTTTAACAATTGATTTTGTTAAGTCAAATTTACTCAATAGCCTTGAGGGAAATACTAAGTTTAGAAAACAAACAAACAAAAAAGGCCGGGTTCAGTGGCTCAGCCTGTAATCCCAGCATTTTGGGAGGCCGAGGCGAGTGGATTGCCTGAGCCTGCGGGTTCAAGACCCACCCAGGCAACGTGGTAAGACCTCATCTCTACAATAAATAAAAAATTAGCCAGGAGTGGTAGCGAGCGCCTGTAGTTCCGGCTACTTGGAAGGCTGAAGCGGAAGGACCTCTGGAGCCCAGTAGATCGAGGCTGTGGTGGCCGGGAGTGTGCCACTGCATTCTGGTCTGGGCAACGGAGTGAGACTCCAACTCAAACAAAAAAAAACAAGCAAACAAACATTATTTCTGAAATAATCTCCTCAATGTAATAGGAATGGGGGATTAAAATAATAAGACATAATATAGATATAAAATATACCATTAAAAGAGTTTAATTCGAGCACATTTCAATGTTAAAAACATTTAAAAATCTATTTTAGGGAAGCATCATAAGATAATAGATATTGGGCATGGTGACTCACACCTATAATCCCAGCATTTTTGGGAGTTCAACATGGGTGGATCATTTAAAACCAGGAGTTTGAGACCAGTCTGAACAACGTAATGAGACCCAGTCTCTACACAAATAAAAAATTAGCCATGCGTGGTGGCACATATCAGTAGTCCTAGCTGCTTGGGAGGCTGAGGTGGGAGTTTCACGTGAGCCCAGGAGTTGAAGGCTACAGTGAGCTGCAGTTGTGCCAGTGTACCCAAGCCTGAGTGACCCTAAAAATAAAAAAGACAATAAAAAGAAAAATAGGCTTTGGAATAGCCTGATTTCCAGATTTAGTGATAACATTTACCAGCAGTATAAGTTAGGGAAAATTACTTAATCTTACTGAGCTTTGGTTTCCTCATCTATAAAATGGGAACAGTAATATGATCAGAATTACTTTGACTAGTAAATGAGTCAATATAGAAAGCACTTCACATGTTATATGACACATAATATACTTGATAAGTGTCACTTTTACTTTTATAATTGTAGGTAATATCATTAAGTCCTTACTGTATCTCTAGATAAGTGCATTACTTGGGTATCTTTTAAAATTCTCTCAATAGCCTGTTAAGATTAGTTGAGTCCTATTGTACAAATAAGGAAAATAAGAGTGAGAGGGATTAACTTGTCTATTGTCATGTAACGAGTGGAAATGCTAAGACCCAAACCAAAACCCTTATTTTTTGTTTTCTTTTAAACTTTAGCATTTAATCAGCCAAACATCTCCAAATGTGACACACAGCAGTTTTGAGGCAGCAAAAGGAACAACATACATTTTGGAGACTCAGATCAGAACTTGAAAGTCACTGGAAAATTGAAGAAAGGAAAATGTGAATGAGGGTTTCAGTTGAAGAAACTTTAAAAAGCAGTAGTGGTGTGCATCTGGTAGATGTAGAAAGAGTTCAGACAAGGGTGGCTAAGAGATAGTAAAGGAAAGTGGAATGTGTGAGTCATGTAGTGGGGAGGTTTCCTTTTGGCAACTTCACTTGCTTTGAGCACAAAAAAGAGAATAGATTGCTAAAGAGGGACTATTGTAGCATTAAATAGGAGTCAGGAGAATTTTTCTCATTTGTTTTGCTTTCTATTTATTATTTTTTTTCTTTTCTAGATGATTCCAGGTGCTACTCCCTTATTGTCACGTGACTCTTGTTTCTTTTGTCTGTTTTCTGGATTACTATAGAGTAGTCTTTGGTATATATTTGTTTTTTGATTTTTTAATTTTTTGTAGAGACAGTGTCTCACTGTGTTGCCCAAGCTGGTCTCAAATTCCTGACTTCAAGTGATCCTCCCACCTTGGCTTCCCAAAGTGTTGGGATTATAGGCATGAGCCACTGTGCCAGCCTACATTTGTTTTTATTAGTTTCCCTAATTTGTTTATATCTAATCATAATGCTGTTCTCTGGTTCAAAAATTGAGGTACTAGAATAAGTAGTATGAAATTATGATGTTAAGTCAGTAATATTGAAAACTTATTAGATATGATATTGTGTTGCAAGAAGTTAGTCTTCTCTAAAATTTTTCTACTAATATTGCTTTCTCTTTTTATCTAACTTTATTTTATTTTCCTTTCTAATTTTTAAAAATAAATTCCTTTTGTTCATAAATTACTCAGTTTTCTCTATAAATTATCCTGTTGTAAGCAACAGAAAATAGACTGACGTCACTTATTTAGTGTATATACACATCAATCATATATCCTTTTGTATGATATCATCAATTTTCAGATGATCCACTGATGTAGTAAAAGCTTTTGTAAAATTAATTTTTTTTTTTTTTTTTTGAGTTGGAGTCTCACTCTGTCGCCCAGACTGGAGTGCAGTGGCCGCTCCCGGTCACCGCAGCCTCGACCTGCTGGGCTCCAGTGATCCTTCCGCCTCAGCCTTCCAAGTAACCGGAATTACAGGCATGTGCTACCACGCCCGGCTGATTTTTTAATTTATTGTAGAGATGAAGTCTCACTGCCTAGGCGGGTCTTGAACCCGCGGGCTCAAGCAATGCACTCCCCTCAGCCTCCCAAAGGCACAGGATTACAGGCTGAGTCACCGTTTAAACCAGGATTTTTTGAGAGGACAGGAAAGCTCCCACAGTAGGAGGGGACCCGAGAGGGTTATCCAATTCTTTTTTTAAATAGAAACAAGGTCTTACTATGTTACTATGTTTCCCAGGTTGGTCCTGAACTCCTGGGCTCAAGCAATCCTTCTGCCTCAGCCTCCCAAAGTGCTGGGATTACAAGTGTGATAAATTTTGTTCCTTTTCTCCTACCAGTCTTTCTTTCCCGTCTCTCTTGTGGAGAAAGAATTTAAAGGCAAGGTCTTCCTCCTGAAGGAGCTTACAATTTAGTGTCTAATACAGTAAGTGTCATAATGTAAGTGCAGAAAAACAAATAAGGAATATTAAATTCCGTGACACATAGAACAGAGATACAATTAAGTTACAGGGAGGTATTTGAGCTGATCCTTGAAGGCTTGTGGCAGAGCTTGGAAAGGCATTCTAGACAGAGGAACAGCCTGAGGAAGGCAGAGAGCATCTCAGGTCATTCACTGAATTGCAGTCTAAATAAAAACAAGCCATCTGGAGAGTCTCACTGTGTCTAGCAGAGACAAGTATGATTCAGGGTGATAGTTTCTAAAAGAGGAATTACAGTTTTAACCTGCAGCTAGTGGGCAGCTAGTGTTACAATACTGTTAAGAAGGAAGGCCATGAAAGAAATTCTGCAGAGTAGAGGTAAAGTTGGAGTCCAACATTGGGGGAAAAAAAAACAACAACACATTATACCCCTGTTGCTTACCACCTTTGAGAAAACTTGCTGTAGGGATCTCCACTTGGTAGGAGTTGCTTTCGTTTTACAGAGATAATCCTACTTGCTTATTTCTGACAGCTTTTCTCCGAGTCTATGATTGTGTTGATATGTAGCTATCCACTGATCGTTTTGCTAACAGATTGCATGTATTGAATTTGCATGTGCCCTACATTGTTCCATATTCTTTATGTTTTCCAGCTCATTTAGTAGCTTTCTTCTCTGATGATTTTACTTTAATGGTCTTGACAACTTCCTCATATGCTGCATAGGTCAAAACTATCACACAGCTACCCCCAGCTACAGAGTAAGCTGGGAATGACTATTTAGGTTTTTTTATCTCTATAGTAGAGGCAGGTCATAAAAAGAAAGTTAGAAATGAGTAGTTCTGCTATATAATCCTTTTCTTGCTTGCCCCCTTCAATTATTTCTACCCCCCATTCATTTCTTTCTTCTTATCATTCCAACTCTTTTTTTCTGAGACTAAAATTCTATGAAGATTAAGGTTCTCCATTGTTATGTTTGACATATATATTGAAGTTCATGAAGGATAAATTACAGCTTAAGTTTTCCATTTTATAAACTAACATTTATCAAATTTTAGCATTATAAAAGCAATTCTGCAGAGGGAATGCTTACATCATGCTTCAGTATCTTGAGTTGCACGTTACTGTTCAATAAACATTATATGCTAAAAAGGAATAATTTTTTCTTGAATATTTCCTTTGTTGCTATTTTAAGATATTAATGAGTCCAATCAGAGTTATTTATTATACCGTCATTGAAGCGTTGAGTTACAGTAACTTCTCCAAATTTATAAAACAGTAGAATCATCTGATACAGTTGGACATTCATTCAATAAATATTAAGTTCCTGTTATATGCCTGAGGATATGGAGAGATGAAATGATATTTGAGACAGGTTGTCTCAAATATCTGAGGACAGGTTGTCTGTTTGCGAAAATAAAAGCAATGACCAGGCCTAATAAGCAGCAATAGAATATATATAAATAAATACCCATAGCCGGGCTTGGTGGCTCAGCCTATAATCCCGCGCCTTGGGAGGCTGAGGTGAGTGGATTGCCTGAGCCCGTGGGTTCGAGACCCTCCTGGGCAACTTGGTGAGACCTCATCTCTACAATAAATCAAAAAATTATCCGAGTGTGGTAGCGCGTGCCTGTAGTTCCAGGTACTTGAAAGGCTGAGGCAGCAGGATCACCGGAGCTCAGCAGGTCGAGGCTGTGGTGGCCGGAAGCGGCCACTGCACTCCAGCCTGGGTGATAGAGTGAGACTCCAACTCAAATAAATAAATAAATAAATACCCATAAGCAATAATAAAATATATACCCATAAACACCCATGAACAACAATAAAATATCCACTCATAGGTGAGTGGCTGGATAGGTGGGTGGATAGAGACAGTTGGACAGATACCTGTTAAGATTAATGTTGTGATTAATGGTATTTCAATATTACGTTGTCTAAAATATGTTCACTTTTTAAAAAAATTAAGGTTGACCAGTTTGCCATGGAATTAGATCAGAGCCGGAATCTGAGTAATACCATAGTACACATTGACATGGATGCCTTCTACGCAGCTGTAGAAATGAGGGACAATCCAGAACTGAAAGATAGACCCATTGCTGTAGGATCAATGAGCATGTTGGTAAGTCGAGAAGATCAAAAGCAAACAGGAAATTTTATAACATGTTCAGATAGGCTTTACTGACTCGTAAAGGGGAAATTATTTATTGAAGTAAAGTGCTAAATTTGTTGAGAATTTTTCTGGATGCCTTATATATTACTCGGTTACTGGATCCTTCCAATAGTCTTTAAGGTACTAGTTTTTATTTCCATTTAACAGGCAAGAAAACAAACTCAGAGGGATGTTTCATAATTTGTCCAAAGTTACAAACACAGTAAATTGTAGAGTGACGTTGTGTCTTTCCATTGCAAGTTAACTTTTTTGTAACTGTTCGAGTTAAAGAAGAAAGAAAATGTTATTCTAAAGCAGATATTTTCAGACTATGATCTGCAGGTAAAATCCAGCCTGCCGCCCATTTTTGTAAATAAGTTTTTTTGGAACAAAGTCACACCCATTTATTTATTACTATTGTTGCACTAAAAGAGCAGAGTTCAATAATTGCACCAGAGACCATATGATCTGCAAAGCATAACATGGTTGCTATCTCCAGTTTTACAGGAAAGGTTTGCCAACCCCAGTTCTAAGGTTTCATATATCATTAATGTAAGTACATTTAGAAGTGAAATTGGTTTTCCCGTGACTTGAAACCTTTGCTTTTTTGATGATTGTGTTGCTCTTCCCTTTTCGCCACTCTGTCCATAGAAGGTAAAAGTGATCAGGGTAACTGTATGTGGCTAAAAATGTGGTGGGAATTAAAAGTAGCAACTAGAGTAAATGGGTTTTTGGCACTTAAAAATGTACTAGGTAAACAAGAGAGTCTTACCTGTTCCTAACTCCTTCCCATGCTCTTGATAGCTATAAAATAATTCCTACCAAGTTATTATTTATTATGAAACTATAATCTGCTTCCATGAGCATGCAGGCAACTCACAACTCTGATTCCAAAATAGTGTTTGTTGAAAGGATACTCTTCTTGCCTGCAAATCACCAATATAAATATGACAGGGGGATCCTTCCAAAAAAACCAGAATTATCTTTTGGAAAGTTAGTCTCTTGCAGTATGCTTGGAATTTGTCCCTCGAGATCAAACAGTCAACCAAAGTTTTTATCTAGAAGTTTTGAGACGGATGTGTCACGATCTGTGGAAGAAACATCTTTGTTGTGATAAACAGACGACTGGTTCTTCCACCATGACAACACACCTGCCCACCCTGCACTGACTGCTCAGCAACTTTTGACCAAAAACGGCCTGAACCCCATGTCCCACCCTCCCTATTCACCTGATCTCACCCGGATGACTTTTTTTGTTTCCCTAGTGAAAAAAAGTCCTCAAAGGGAAACGTTTTTCTAATATGGAAGAAGTAGAACAAAAAATGGCAGAAGCACTGAAAGCCATCAAAATTGACTAGTTCAAAAACTTTTGAGCAGTGGAAAAACTATCCTGATAGGTATATTGCATCACACGGAGAGTACTTTGAGTACTTTGAAGAAGATTGAAGTTTAAGCATGCAAGAATAAATACAATTTTTTATGAGTAAATTCTGTTTTGGGGGTCCCTTTTCATATTTGAAAATAATGCATGTAATTTTATTAAGCTATAATGCTCTATCAAAGTATATATGTACATGTACAGATATATATGTGTAGATGCAGATACATATAATATGCTGTAGCCATATTAAAGCTAAACTGACTTCTTTTAAAAACCCATATAAAATATTTTTTCTTAAAGTTTCTATCCTCCTAAAAATCAGTTATTGTTTCCGAATTCAAAGTTATTATTTCTTACATTTAAACAACAATTATCCCTTTTGTATGCTGAACTAATTGATTTTCCCCTCTAACGAGACTTGAACCATAATCCTTTGTCTCCTATTAAACTCATAAACGTGTACCTAAAAATTGATGAGAGTGATGACGCATGTTTGATTATTCCAATCCGTTACAGGTCAATTCTTTTTTGGCTAATTTGATGGATTTTTGAAATGTTCTAAGTTGGCATTGAGAGTTGGAACTTAGACCTTATAGCCATCTGTTGCTGCATACAAACCCCTTCAGTACTCAGTAGACAACGGTGTATTTGCTCATGATTCTGTCATTTGAGCAGAGTTCCATGGTGATGGCTCAGTTCTACTTGGGGTTGACTAGGACTGTTGCACTGAGAATGGGGAATCCAAGATGGCCAGGGCTGTTGAACAGAGAATGGGGAATCCAAGAAGGCATGGCTTCACTCACTGATCTGGTACTTTAGCTGAGATGATTGGAATGGCTTCTAGCCTTCAAGCTTTTTTCTCTCCATCGTGGCCTCTTCATTTAATTATCTACTCCAAGATCTTTGCAGTGGTTGCTGGATCGCACAAAGCAAGCAGAAGCTGCAGATTTCTTCAGGCCTGGGCTTCAGGGCCTTCACAGGGTTATTTCCCTCACATTCTTTTCATCAAGGCAAGTCACTTGGCCTGAGGAGCCTGAACGCGTCTTCTGCTAAGAGCAATTGTAAAATATCATGGCTGTGGTTTGCAACATGCCACAAACCTGAAAGTGAGGAAAACTCATATCTGAAATTTTGTGTCTGCTCTGCTATGGATCTGGTTTTCGTATCGGTTCTATTAGACTTACTTATATTTAAAGCATTGATCTGTCTTCCTAGTGCTGTCTGCATTTTCTGTTCAAGAACACTGACCAACGATTAGCAGTTTTGAGTACTATCAAAAATTTTTTAAAATGCCATTTGAAAATCATTAATGGAAAATTCATATTATTCTGAAATAATTTCTTCATTTGATTGTTTTGCATTTCACTTGAAATTCCAAACAAAAATTCTATTTGTGATAAAAAATCTTTTTTTAGTGGTACTATGGCCTACCATGTTGATAATACTCAGGTATTATCAACAAGATTTAATAAGTTAGTAATATTCTTCTTTTTATCCTCATACCTTTTTAGTTCTATTTTCTAGTTAAGATGTTTTCACCAAAAATATTCAAGCATTAAGAAAGAAAACTTAATTATTAAACCTATTTTAAGCTTTTTGAGTTGGAGTCTCACTCGGTTGCCCAGACTGGAGTGCAGTGGCCGCTCCCGGCCACCGCAGCCTCACCTGCTGGGCTCCGGCGATCCTTCCACCTCAGCCTTCCGAGTAACTGTAATTACACAAAAGTAAACTATTATACTATGCTATTACTTTTCACTACTATTACTTTCATGTAACATCATCCACTATCATCCAAACTTTGTTATATATTCTATTACGGGTATGCCTTAAAACCATGAAGTTTAGTTACTAGAAACCTTTTTATTAGAACAATCTTGCTTATTACCCGGTATCACATTATAAATATAGGGACAGCAGTGGAAGAAGGTCATGGTTTCATAATACTATGACAGAATAAAGTCAAAACTTGGTTTCAGACAGTGGCCTATGAAAGAAATGTCTTTGAATTGAAAATGTACATTACTAATGTGCTTCTTATGAATGCATCAATCAATATGTCACTTAGATTTGTACCTTTTTTTCCATGTGGTCAATTCTCTTTCAGTCTACTTCGAATTACCATGCAAGGAGGTTTGGTGTTCGTGCAGCCATGCCAGGATTTATTGCTAAGAGACTCTGCCCACAACTTATCATAGTGCCCCCAAACTTTGACAAATACCGAGCTGTGAGTAAAGAGGTAAGTTAGTGTCTCCCTCCTCCTTCCAGCCTTCCACTGTTTCCTGTCACCTACAGAGTCCAAATGCCTTAGCACATCAGACTTGGTCTTAGTTCATCCGTGTAGTCTAGCCTCCGACCACGTCTCCAAACTGCATATAGTACCAGAGTGCATCATTCTGTGCCCCAGTTCTTCACCCTTCCATGATGTATTTTTCTTCTGCTTGGGAGACTCTTAGATGGCAGGTGTGGTGGCAGGAACCCAGCACTGGGGAGGCTGAGGTGAAAGGATCGCGTGAGTCCAGGAGTTCGTGGCTCTAGCTGTGATTAGGCCACTGTACTCCAACCTGCACAACAGAGCAAAACCTTGTCTGGGTTAAAAAAAAAAGAAAAAGCTGATCTCCTTAAAATTTGAATTGCCTTGATTATAAAATTACCTTTAGCTATGTTCTTAATGGCAATATACTTTTTTCCCCTAGAACCACTTTTTATTTAGAATTTGCAGAATTGACTCATCATTAATTTTAACCTATTTTTGGTCAGACATGGTGGCTCACACCTGTAATCCCAGTTCTTTGGGAAGCCGAGGTGAGAGGATTATCTTAGCCCAGGGGTTCAAGATCAGCCTGGGCAACGTGATAAGACCTTGTCTCTACAGTAAATCAAAAAATTACCTGGGTGTGGTGGCACTTGCCTGTATCCCAGCTCAGGAGGCTGATGCGGAAGGATCACCTGAACCCAGAAGTCAAGGCTGTAGTCGCTGTAACTGTGCCGCTGCATTCCAGTCTGGGCCACAGAGTGCAACTCTGACTCAAAAAAAAAAAAATTAATTTTAATCTACTTTCTGAATAAATTATTTATCAGTGTTGTTAAATAAAATTAACTTATTTTGACTAGCTACTTTACTTGTTCCACAATCTAGTAAAGCTGTTTATGAGCAAACTTAATGTCTTAGAGTATGACAAAGAGAATTACTTTGAAAAGGATCTCTGAATTAGATTTGATTATTTACTAAAATTGCCAAACTGCCACATATGAAAAACTGCCATTTCTCTGTTTTTGATGACAACTGACCTATCATGCAGTATTGGAATTTAATTTTTGAAATAAAATTTTAGAGTGCTATAATCAAATACTTTTAGATCGCTATGGTAAAATATAATGTATTACAGACTACAACCTGAATAGAAACACTTAAAAAACAATGGCTCATAATACTTACTACCATTTAGTCATTCAAGCAATCCTTACATTCTTTCCTCTTATTTTTATTCCATCTTATTTCCCCTAGAAATGACACTTTACCCCTAGTTCAAAAACAATTTTTTTTCTTTCAGAAGCAGTCTTTGAAAACAAGTGCTTTGTGCCTACCTCTGAAAAGGTAGCAGAGGAGGGGAAAGCACACTCAAATTTAGCTACTGTTTCATCTTTTTTTTCTGTATTCCTAATTAAAAAGAATCAAATGCTAGCCATAAATATAATGGGCTTTTAATAAGTTTGGAAATCCTGCAACAATTTTGTGAGATTTTTTTTAAGACCGCCTAACTCAATAAAACTGACAGTATGATGACAGTGAGAACGAAATCATTTCTGGTTATTTTTAGTCTGGTTATTTGTATAAGTTGGAGAAATCTTCAGATTTGACCACGATCTAGCTAGATTATTTGCAGATAACATATGAGTTATTATATGTAAATGAACTACAGCATAAATTCGTCACTGGGTACTTTAATATTCATGGCTTGACCAGGCACAGTGCCTCACACCTGTAATCCCAGCACTTTGGGAGGCAGAGGTGGAGGATCACATGAGCCCAGGAGTTCAAGATCAGCCTAGGCAACACAGCAAGACCTTGTATCTACACAAAATCAAAAAAGAAATTAGCCAGGCATGGTGGCACACCTCTGTAGTCCCAGCAACTCAGAAGGCTAAGACGAAAGAATCTCCAGACCCGAGGAGGCCAAGGGTGCAATGAGCCATGATTGCGCCACTGCACTCCAGCCTAGGTGACAGAGTGCGACCCTAAAATGATTTATGCCTTGGTTAGAAGGGTTAAGAAAAAGCCATATTTGTTTTGTTCAAAATATTGAAATAGCTGTAAATGTTCTTGGAGCTTTAAATGCTTGATTTTTACTGGAACATGTCTATTTTCGTTCCTTTTTTTTTTTTGAGTTGGAGTCTCACTGTCGCCCAGACTGGAGTACAGTGGCCGTTCCCGGCCACCGCAGCCTCGGCCTGCTGGGCTCGGGCGATCCTTCCGCCTCAGCCTTCCAAGTAGCTGGAACTACAGGTGTGTGCTACCACGCCCGGCTAATTTTTTGATTTATTGTAGAGATGAGGTCTCACCTGCCCAGGCGGGTCTCAAACCCGCGGGCTCAGGCAATCTACTCACCTCAGCCTCCCAAAGGCGCGGGATGACAGGCTGAGCCACCGAGTATCTGTATCCTATGTAAAGAGAATTAAGTACCCAATAGTGTCTATAGGGAGTACTTTTCATTCAGAATTTTAGTTGGCTGCCAGTTACAGACTTCCAAAGTTTCATTTTCACTAGAAAGATTCTATTAGAGTGCATTATAAAAATGGTTTATTCTGTAAGAACAAAGCTAATTAAGACACTGAGTAAAACCTGGCAAAGTTTTATATCACCATTTTCTAAAATTTTCCTTGACTCAGCTGTTCATAATTATGTTAAGCTAAAAAGCTTTCTTTTTATAAAACAAGAAAAAGTTTTCTTGTGATACAGTAGACAGCTTTTAAATGCTAAATGGAAGCATAACGTAATTCAGGAAATATATTTTCTAATATACATATTATTTTGGCAGTCACTTCCTCTAACTACAGCTAATACTTCAGTGGTTTAAAAAAAACCTTCATAGTTTTATGTAATAACACTATCTTAGTGCCAGGCTCGGTGGCTCAGCCTATAATCCCACGCCTTTGGGAGGCTGAGGTGAGTGGATTGCCCGAGCCCGCGGGTTTGAGACCCGCCTGGGCAGCGAGACCTCATCTCTACAATAAATCAAAAAATTAGCTGGGCATGGTAGCGTGCGCTTGTAGTTCCGGCTACTCGGAAGGCTGAGGCGGAAGGATCACTGGAGCCCAGCAGGTGGAGGCTGCGGTGGCTGGGAGCGGCCACTGCACTCCAGTCTGGGCGACAGAGTGAGACTCCAACTCAAAAACAAAAGAAAACAAAACAAAAACACTATCTTATATAAAAGACATTTACAGATTATAGCAACTGTAATTATAATCTTTACATTTTTCTGTTCCTAAGATGCAACTCCAGACTTTCCCCATCATTTTGTGTCATCATGAAACACACTACAGATTTTTTCATCCTTTCCACTCCAGATCCCAATAAGTAATGGAGCTTCACTTTCCTGTGTGAATCCCTGCATTGATGTGTGTATTGAGTGGAGTTTTATATGCATGTTATAATTAAATGGAATATGAAATAAAACTACTTTCTAAAGCAACATGGTACCTTTATGTAAGAGTATTCCTTTTTAAAAATGAACAAAAAGTCATCATAAAAGAGATGAGAGAGAATAGAATCCTATCATTCCCACTTCAGCTTTTGACCAGCTACCCCAAGACTTAATCTTTTTTTAAACCTACTTAGAATGATGTCGTCTGAGATTTTTTTAAATTGCTTACTATAACCAGATATAGGCGGCTCAGTAGAGATTGCATCAAATGAAACTATTTCATGGTCTTCTGCCTTCAAACTTTAACAAATATGCCCTGATAGTAAATTATTTACTCCTTAAAATACATGAGCTATTGGTTGCAGGATGGTTACTATAGTTGCAAAGTAAGAATATTAATGTTTCTCATCAGCTATGTATGATAGAAGGTTTGGCTATGGCAGCAAAATTTAAGCCTTTTTTGTTCCTTTTGAAGGTTAAGGAAATACTTGCTGATTATGATCCCAATTTTATGGCCATGAGTCTTGATGAAGCCTACCTGAACATAACAAAGCACTTACAGGAAAGACAAGATTGGCCTGAGGACAAAAGAAGGCATTTTATCAAAATGGGAAACTCTATAGAAACTGGTAAGCAAATTATTAGGAATATCAAACTATAAAACAAACAAAAATAACTCTTTGAATTAACCCAAGCTACTTATTAGCATGCATAGTGTAGTGGCCGAAAGTTCAATCCGAGAGACCACCAAGAGCCAATTCCGATGAAAGTTCAAGAGGGTCTTTATTTACAAGCTCGAGCCTGGACCTCTGTTGACAACCGACACAGCGGAGTACATTCAGAGGCCCTGATTTCCTTAAGCAGATGCCTTTTATGCTTTTACACAAAGGGAGGAGGAGTTTGGGGGGGCTTTCCAGTTTAGTTACCATTTAATTGGGTAGTTCCTCTGGTGGTCAGCTTAATCGTGGAGGATTGGCTAACCTGACTCGAGCTGACCTTGGCCCACTAGCTAGGGAAGTTGCAGAGACATCTGGAAACTTAGGTGATTTCTCCCTGGCACCTGATTGGTTGTTGCTAAGGGGAAAGTGAGACAAGGGAAGAATAACTGGAGATTTGCAGTTTTTCCCATAACTGAAACTTTAAACAGTTATATGTTTTAAGACAAAACTAAAATTGGCTGTGCTATTGTTCACAAGCTGATTACATATTTATTGGGTTATAGCATGCTCCTAACCTAAGTCTATGGTATACTCTATTACGGTCCTCTCAATAGGTGATAAGACGCAATGTACTTTTATAAAAATAAAAAAGCAGAATATTAAAATATACCTGCAGGTTTTCTGAGATAAAAGTGTATAATGTCACTTATAAACCAAATATGATTGTTAACTCGCTAGACTTAGAGATTTTAATTGACTTAAATTATCTTAACATAGTATGTAAAGGTGCTATGTTGCTTTAGAAAGTAGTTATATTTCAATTAATTATACTATGCACATAAAGCTCTAATCAATATACACATCAATGCATGTATCCATACAGGAAGATGAAGCTTCATTAATTATTGGAATCTGGAGTAGAAAGGACACAAAATGATAGGGGAAAGTCTGGAGTTGCATTTTAGGATGAAAAAAATATAAATATTGTAATTACAGTTGCCATAATCCAGAAATGCCTTTTATATACAACAGTTTGAAATTGACTTAAAGAGTCTTTGAACAAAATAATTTCAAAAGAGTTATTTTCCTAAGATCTAACTAACAGAGGGTTTGGATTGCATAGAAGTTTAGGAAGTTTCCTGTTTAAGGTGCCCTTTTGATGTTGTCAAGAAGGTTAGCCTCAACCATATCAAAATCTTGAGTGATTTTATTTTTCTTCACTTCTCAAATTCTATAATCTGGTTATTACATCAATTATGAATGTTAACAACCCTGCCAAAATCAATGACACCCCACTCTTTTCTTTGCCTTAGAACTTATTATGATTCTCTTATATGCAATGAAAGAGAAGTTTTAGGTCTCCACGTTTTTTTCAAACAATCTCTTTATTACCTGTCCAAAAGCAATGCTAAGAACCATGCAGATATTATATATACTACTTTTAACCCTTTGTCAAAGATTTATTACTTCAAATATCTGAGCTGTCCTGTGCAGGGGGGGGTGGCTAGCCCCTGCAAAGAGATTTAAGGGGTCCCTAGGAGGTGTGACGGCGTTGGCAATTATTCTGGAGAAATAAAGAGAAAGAAAGAGATGGGGGGGCAGGGGGGAGAAAGAAAGAGACTGGACTCTGTCTAGCGCAGAAGCCATTTAATGGGACAAACTGTAATCCTTTTATCCCAAATTTTCACAGGTTAAACAACAAGACTTTCATGTGAACACAAAGCCAGGTGGATGAGGGGCATCCCCCACCCACCAGGTGTTTCCTCAGGCATGAGGAAGAACAATCCCAATTAAATCACAAGACATTTACACGAACACAAAGACAGGTGGATGAGGGGCATCCCCCACCCGGGCATTTCCTCAAGCATGAGGAAGGACGATCCCAAAATTATCTCACTGTTCCTCATGCTTGGTTACTATTCCTCAAAAGCAATACAAGAATTCTATCATAATGTTCTTTTTTTTTTGAGTTGGAGTCTCACTCTGTCACCCAGACTAGAGTTCAGTGGCCGTTCCCGGTCACCGCAGCCTCGACCTACTGGGCTCTGGCGATCCTTCTGCCTCAGCCTTCCAAGTAGCCGGAACTACAGGCGCACGCTACCACGCCCAGCTAGTTTTTGATTTATTGTAGAGATGAGGTCTTGCCAAGTTACCCAGGTGGGTCTCGAATCTGCGGGCTCAGGCAATCCACTCGCCTCGGCCTCCCAAAGTGCTAAGATTACAGGCTGAGCCACTGAGCCCGGCCACATCATAATATTCTAATAATCAATAACTTTAAAAAGTTATGCATACACAACACCTAATGACTAACTTAAATCCTAATTCCTTTCTATTTTACACTAATTCTACCTACACTTTAGAAACTCTTAATTATAGCCCAAACCAGTTCCTAAAGAATGTGACCCAGTCAAAAGATCACGCTGGGCCGTTTCTAGGAACAATTGATTACAATCTCTTAACAAAATGACTGTTCTAAAATCCTATATATCTATTTTAACTTCTATAAAAGTTTCTAATTCCTAATCCTAATATATAAAGCTGATCATCAGCAATAAAGCTTCTAACAACCCAAATATAAACTGTAAATTGTATTAAAGCCAAAACCACAAATGTAGAAAATGGAAACAATGAAATTTCTAAAGTTAGCTGTATTCTTATTAAACCTCAGAATATCATGTTTGATCATGCTTGAACTAACATAATTCACTGACGTAGCATAACCTATTCTACAATACTTTCTAAAATAAATTTGATTTCTATAATAAGTAGAAAAACCCTACACTAACTGTAGCTAAAACTGGTTTAAAAGAATGCAGCCCAGTCCAAAGTACGCACTGGGCCCTTAGGAATGTGACCCAGCCCAAAGTTTGTGCTGGGCTGTTTCTAGTAACTCTATATTATTAAAGTTGAAACAGCACTTTATTTGTATATACTAATTCTACAAATATACTTTTACATCTTATAAAGAAGCTTGTACCATATTAAAGCCTCCCAAATGTGACCTGAGTTTGAACTGTGTTAAGTTTAAAGCCAAAACTGCAGTCTATGAGAAATGGGAACAATGGACTCCTAAAGTAAGCCATGCCTGCTGTGCTCTTAGAACTTCATGCTTAGATCATCAAAGTTTCTTCTAATGAGATGTGCTAAATAGCAAAAAAGGAGGAGGCAATAGGCCAACAGCTCCTGAACACATCCTAGTGGTCTCAGGGTCCACAGCCCACCTTGATCCCTAACGTTCAGGTGGGCAGTCCCAGACCTCTGAGTAAAGTTCACCTGAATTGGGGACATAGAGGGGTTTGCTCACAACCCACAGCAACGTTTCATGTTCACAATTCATTGACTGCTACGAGACCTGTTTGTAACTTTCCCTGAAGCAAAAAAGGTGGATCCACAGTGGCATAACATTCTAACTCCCTCTCATTGTTTAGGGATCCCATTGTTTGGTACAAGTTTGATGTGGCCATCAAATCACAGCTTCACTATCTTGTTTAAAGCTCTAAGGGATAGGTGCTTTTCTTTAATAGAAACAATAATCATAATTTCTGGACACAGTCTTGGAGCAAAAGGTTTTCCTTCTCTGGTATAACTTTATTGTTTGGGGATGTAGTGCATAAAGTTTGATGTGACTTTGCTTAAAATCTGACTTTAGGGAAGTTAAATGTCTTCATTTTCTACTGATTTTCTTTTCACTTATAATATGCAAACTCACTATGAGGAAGTAAATTTTTAGTATCTATTGCTTTTAATGTATTTGTTTGTATAGTGTTCTCTTTATGTATTTCATTTTTTTTTTTTTTTGAGTTGGAGTCTTACTCTTATTGCCCAGGCCGGAGTGCTATGGCACACTCACAGCCACTGCAGCCTCAACCTGCTGGGCTTAGTCGATCTTTCTGCCTCAGCCTTTCAAATAGCTGGAATTACAGGTGCACACCACCATGCCCGGCTAGATTTTGTGATTTGTTATAGAGACAAGGTCTCACCAAGTTGCCCAGGCTGGTCTCGAACCCATGGGCTCAGGCAATCTTCTCACCTTGGCCTTCCAAAGTGCCGGGATTACAGGCGGAGCCACCACCATGCCCAGCCTATTTCATATTCTTAAGCAACTGAAATGGTTTAACTTTTCTTCTCATCTATAATCCCTGTGGAGGCCAGGCATGGTGATTATAGTTATAATTCCAGCACTTTGGGAGGCCAAGGCAGTAGATCACTTGAAGTTAGCTCAAGACCAGCTTGGGCAACATAGTAAGACCCCATCTCTACAAAAAAGAAAAAAAATTAGTCAGGTTTATAATCCCACCTACTCAGGAGGCAGAGACAAGAGGATTGCTTGAGCCTAGGAGTTCAAGGTTGCATTGAACTATGACAGCACCACTGCACCCCAGCCTAGACAGAGCAAGACCCTATCTCAAAACAAAAATCCCATGGACTCCCATTATGTCATGGAAAGCTGTCAATACCACATTGAACTATGACAGATGATCGAGAATATATTTCTCTAAAAGTCAAAGATACTTCTCTGCTGCTTCCTTCTTTTCTAAAAGGTGCTTGTCTTTGGAAATGTGTTACTAACTGATATCTCTACATACAAGCACAATAAAATGGTTGTTTGACGTTACTCTGTGATCTAAATCTGCGTGGGGAGTGCCAGACAATATAAGAAGCCAAAACACCACTCACTCTTTGGCACTGGCCATCTAGGTGAAATGCCCTAGTCCTTGTGTTGTCTCCAGAGTGCCTGTCACGGGGGGTGTAAGAGATACTTGTGTCAGAAAGCAAGCAAGAAATGACTTCAGCTGTTAGCCACGCAGCCAGGCCGCACAGAACAGGAGGACGCCGTTCCGATTGAAGAGGTAGCTGCGGTTCTGCGGCAGCTCTCGCGGTGTTCCAAAAGGCAGCGTTCTCGGCCTCCTCCCGCCGTCCTGTGTCGGGGCCTCATCTGAGCAAGGGCTGGTGGAGGCGTGAGGTGCAGGACGTGGCGGCGCAACTCGAGAGGGGGCCTTGAACTTCACGTGGTCTGCCGTTTCTCCACTGCTCTCGCTACCTTGACTTCTGCCCATCTAAAGAGGGGAAAGGGCTCATTTCTTTCTGTTCTTTCATTTAGTTTTTAATTTTACAGAGGTGGGGTGCCATTCAGGGTTGGGCATGCAAGTGTCCATTATGCAGGTAAGGTCTCATTTCCAAAGACATTTCAACCGTTCCACACTCTTAATGCCCTCTGAGTTGCTCTGCCCTTCAAAACCGAATATGGAAAAGGAAAGAAACTGAAGCACATAAATGACAGCCCATATACGTTTGGAAATAAGTCTTATTATGTATGTGGCATGGGAATTCAGATTTGAAAACATCTGACTTAATTAACACTTGTAACTTAATTCATATTACACCCTTTGAATTTTGAAGCTAATCAGATTTTTTACATTATCTTTAGAAAATTTTCCTCAACAGCCAAGATCATTTTTCAGGTAATATGCATTCATGTGTGTTGTGAAACTAGAATCTTAATTTTTGCTTCTGTATTTACCTTTATTTGTAAAACACCTATATGTAATAAAATTATGAAATGTAATCCAAAAGCTCTGTTGTTAATCTTAGTTGTCATAAATACACTTAAACTGTATTTCTTCTCCATTAAGCTCAGAAAATAGGATTTAAGGGATTTGTTCATAAAAACATTTTTAGTACCAGTATAGATTTAAGTGTATTTTACAGTCTATTTATGAAAATGCAAATATAATGAGATAGTAACCAGATTGGTATTTTTACTTTATTTTTTCATAATAATAGTTTACAGTTTATTGATCATAATAAAGGTTTTTTTCCTTAAACTTGAACCTTGGTTAATATAATCAAACGTTAAGAATCTGTATATTTAAATAAGGCTGAGTTTCAAAGGTAATTTCTATTTATTGTAAATATGCCCTTAGTAAAAGTGATACTTTATAACCAAGTAAGTCACAATTAAAATAAACATTTGAAAGAAGAAATTCAGATTATTTTTAACATCTGAAAGTTTCTTCTACGAATGAAGAAAATTTAATTTTTCCCCCTAAAAACAAAACTGAATTTCCAGGTATTGTTTAATGCTTTTTTCCTAACTCCTAAATTCTAATTTAAGGTCTTTTTCTTCCTAGAGAATAATAAAAAAAAAAAAAAGGATTTCCTTTTTTTTAAGAAAAAGTAATGTAAACTGAAACCCAATTCTGAGCTGAAAATAATTTAGGTAAAAACGTAGTGAATTTTACATAGGATATTTCCTTTTATTTATATTTATATTATTTTTTAATTTATTTTAAATAGAGACAAGGTCTCACTATGTTGTCCAGATGGGCCTCGAACTCCTGCCCTCAAACAATCCATGTGCCTCGACCTCCCAAAGCACTGGGATTATAGGCATAAGCCACAGTGCTTGGTTGGATATTTCCTTTTGAAATGTATACGAATTTGAAAAAACTATAATCAGTGTTCCCTTTGTTGAAAAATCTAAGTGACAAGGGATAGCATTTCTGATCTTGGTTCCTAGAAACAAAACTAAACTAGATTTATTTTGTCTTCAGGAATAATGTAGAGAAACCTAACTTATAAAATATGTACTACTTAAAATGAAGGTGTATAACCATTACTATTTATAATTTAGATAAACCAGAAAAGGAAGCTGATAAATTGAGTGAACTCGAACGATCCATCTCTCCACTACTTTTTGAAGAGAGTCCTCCTGATTTGCAGTCTCCAGGAAATCCTTTCCAAGTGAACTTTGAAGAACAAAACAATCCTCAAATAATCCAAAACTCTGTTGTTTTTGGAACATCAGCTGAGGAAGTGGTAAAGGAAATTCGTTTCAGAATTGAGCAAAAGACAACGCTGACAGCCAGTGCAGGTAATTAAAAGGACATTGATGGCCACTATAGTTATTATTTTCAGATTGACTAATTCAAGAATAATATTCAAGTTGGATAACTTGGTGAGACCTCATCTCTACCATAAATCAAAAATTAGCCAGGCGTAGTAGCGCGCGCCTGTAATTCCGGCTACTCGGAAGGCTGAGGCAGAAGATTCGCCGGAGCCCAGCAGGTCGAGGCTGCGGTGGCCGGGAGCGGCCACTGCACTCCAGTTTGGGCGACAGAGCAAGACTCCAAACCCCCCCCCAAAAAAAGAATAATATATCAGTAGTTTCTCTTGTAGAATATATAGTAACATTTTACTTATTCATTATTTGGTTCAACTTCCAGCAACTGTCATATTCGCAATAGCTATGAGCCTACAGGTAAATTGGAATTCAGCAGAAAAGCCAATGAGCCTGAAGAAGACTATCATCAATTTCATGTAGCTTTTATTTTTTAAGCACAAAATATATTTTAATTGGTTTTTCATGTAACATTTGATTGGGAGACCAGTTCTGTCTAAGACTACATTGCAGAAGAGAACGCAGATGGCCACAAGGCAGGAGACAAAAAGAAAAAAACTATCAGCATGGCAACCTAGGACCATCTGGTAAAAGGAAAGACAGGTATATATGGAAATAAACCATGAGGGCATCAATCAGTATGTTTTAGCATAATAACTGATAATCATCATGAGGACCCTGAACTATCTTCTAAAGTCCTATGATAATTAGGTTAATCTTTTCTTTCTATACATAAGCATAAGAATGAATAATTAATTTTAGGAAGATATTATAGAAATCACATTTCAGATCACCTTAATCATTATGATGCCTAGAAATTATAAAACACTTTTCTGAAAAATAGTAATTTGGTTTGTGGGTAACAAAAAAGATAAACAAATATAATTATCATTATTTTAAATGCTGCAAACCAGAATTTTTTTTTAATGTGGCTAATATATTGAAAAGACCTTTTCAAAGAGTAAACATCCATTCTAAATTATATTCTGGATATTTTCTGAGTAGATAGAGAACCACTACAAAATAATCCTGTACTAAAAGTGGTGAGTAAACTAATAACATTTAATATTACCCAGCTCAGAAATTACTCTTAGATTTTAAAATATCATGGATAATTAAATATTCCCCATTTTTGCTGCCATAATAACAAATACAATTCCTTTTCCTAAAACCCTAGCAAGATGGTAATCAAATGTTTGTTTGAGTTGGTGTCTGCTCTGTTGCCCAGGTTCGAGTGCAGTGGCACGCTCAGGGCCACTTCAGCCTCGACCTGCTGGGTTCAGATGATCCTTCCATCTCAGCCTTTCAAGTAGCAGGAACTATAGGTATATAAATCACCCCTGACTAATTTTTTTATTTATTGTAGAGATGAAGTTTCACCAAGTGGTCTCGAACCACTGGGCTCAGGCAATTCTCTCGCCTCCTCCTCCCAATGTCCTGGGATTACTACGGGCATGAGCCACCGGGTGCCTGGCTTCAAATTTTATTTTTAAGATAGCATTATAGTTTCAGATTTTTTGCACCTACCATTTTTTTTCTGTTTTATCATCACATATTTAAAAATTATACATATCAACTTATTTGATTGATCAGAGTGTTCTTCTCTTAAGGCATTGCCCCAAATACAATGTTAGCAAAAGTCTGCAGTGATAAGAATAAACCAAATGGACAATACCAGATTCTCCCCACCAGACAAGCTGTGATGGACTTCATCAAGAATTTACCCATTAGAAAGGTAGGATTTTATATAAAATGTATCATCTGTATGTGTACTCTGAATTCTGAAGAGATGCTATTTAGACTGATAGTAATCATTCTTTGCTTAATTTTTTTCTTTCTTTTTTTTTTTTTTTTTTGAGTTTCACTCAGTCACCCAGGCTGGAGTATAGTAGCATGTTCATGGCCACCACAGCCTTGATCTGCTTAGCTCAGGCGATCCTACCATCTCAGCCTTCCAAGTAGCTGGAACTACAGGCACATGCCACCACACCTGGCTAATTTTTAAATTTATTGTAAAGATGTTTGCCAGGCTGGTCTCAAATCCCTGGGCTCAGGCAATCCTCTCACCTTAGCCTCCCAAAGTGTTGGAATTACAGACGTGAGCCACATACCCAGTCTCTGCTTAATTTTGCAACAGTAGGTAACAAGCAAGAACTATAATGGTGATTGAATTTGGACTTGAAGAAATCTTCTATGAAACTCTAAAAGTGAGGTTTAGGAGCTTACTTGCTATTTTTAAGGAAATAGTAGGTGATAGACTTTAAAAAAAAACCTCCTAGCCAGGCTCCGTGGCTCAGTCCATAATCCCGCGCTTTGGGAGGCTGAGGTGAGTGGATTGCCTGAGCTCGCGGGTTCGAGACCCCCAGGCAACTTGGTGAGACCTCGTCTCTACAATAAATCAAAATTCAGCCAGGCGTGGTGGCACGCCTGTAGTTCTGGCTACTTGGAAGGCTGAGGCGGAAGGATCACTGCAGCCCAGCAGGTCGAGGCTGCAGTGGCCGGGAGCAGCCACCACACTCCAGTCTGGGCAACAGAGTGAGACTCCGACTCAAAAAAAAAAAAAAAAACCAGAAAACTCCTGCCAAGGAGAAGGGAAATAATAAGGACATTTGTAAGAGTTTTCAGCTGTAGCTTAATACTATCTTAGTCGGAAAGTCCAGATTGCTACCAGATTAATAGGCATAATACTTCAAAGAGATTTAGAATTTTGATTGCTTTTGACAAAAAATAAACCAAAATACTTAACCATTTTTAAAATTATAAAATTATCCCTCAGGGATTACAGAAAGGGTATACTTCATTATTTTTTGGAGCGTCTATATAGTCACTATGTATATTAGTATATTAAAAATTCATAAGTCTTACAGTAAGTAGTTACATTTAAATTTGCTAATCCCATCATTCCCCAAGTTTACATAAATCACAGGACTCCTTTTTAATGCCTTTTAAAATTCCATGAAACACTAGTTATGAAATGTAGTAAAAAAATTAAAGCAGTCTCCTTGCATGACTTGTGAAAATAGTCATATTATCCATACTTTTATTGATCATAAAAGGTATAATGAGATTGTCATCTCAGTTCTTAGCTTAATTTTTAAATCTATTAATGACAAATATTGATTCTCTTTCAGGTTTCTGGAATAGGAAAAGTTACAGAGAAAATGCTAAAGGCCCTTGGAATCATTACTTGTACAGAACTCTACCAACAGAGGGCGTTGCTTTCTCTCCTTTTCTCTGAAACATCTTGGCATTATTTCCTTCATATCTCCCTGGGCCTAGGTTCAACACACCTGACAAGGTATCTACATGTATACTCATTCTGATTTTTCTTTTATCATTTGCTGAAATACCAGTTTTAACCATTGAGATGAGGCTATATAGATAGCATGTGTAAAAAATTTTCTAGGCTAGTTTAATTCAGAATGTAATGTTTTAATTAGAATCAGATTGGAGGCGGGAGAAAAGGAAAAGAGACCTAACCAGTAACTCCTAGGTGGTTGGCTTCAGCACTCGAATAGAGGGACAAGAGGAATGGTGGCTGCTTTCTTTTCTGTCCCTACCTTGTTCTTTGTCAGAACCTCAGAAGTGCTGGTGGTTGGCTTGTTGGTGAGGAGTTAAAGGTAGCCGTATTCCACAATTCATCCTTTAAATAAGGAGATGTAATGATTCTTTGAAAGTCTTAATGAGACGACTACATTTATTTTCTTTTCCAGACTTGCAAATGATTCACTTATTCAGTAATGAGTAGTTTGTGTTAGGCACACTTCTGGGTACTGGGGACAACAGCAGTGAAAAGGACAAATTCCTGCCTTCATGGAGTTTCCAGACTGGTGTGAGAGATAGAAAGCCAAATAGACAGAAGAAGAAAGTAAAGTGAGGGCAGAGAAAATGACTTGGGGGTAAGTGTGGGGGTGGCAGCGGACATCCAGGAACAAAGCCAGCTACCGTAAAAGCCAGCAGAGGAACCGCCGGAGCAAGTGGCCCGGGGCTGTCTTCCCTGCTAGTCCCTCATCTGGGTCTTACGTAGAGGTAGAAGGGAAGCCCTTAGGCGCAAGCGAAAAGAAGGGAATTTTAAAGGTGTGGGAATCATGGAACTCAGCCCTGGGCAGTGTTTGGACAGTTTTGTCGCTGTGCTATCAGCCGGCCCTCAAAAGGAGTCTCCTTTATATTCTTGTACCGACACTGAGGGGCAGCGGCAAAATCCCTGAGGATGCGTGTGACGTGGGTGAGCCGGTTAAGCCTCCTGGATCCCGGAGACGGCCGGGCTTGTGGTGCTGCGTTTCTCGGGGCCGTCCTGGTTGTCGTTCTCTGCGGCCACCGCCAGCTGCCTTTGATCCTGAGTGGCCACCAAGGCGTTGCAGCACTACGGATGATCTGGTCTTTGACCCGGAAAGTGTCCTCGCTTTGCTCTCGTTAGTGCTTAAAGCCATGTAGTTCTGGTGTAACATAGCATACGCTAACCTGTGCTTTTACATAAAACTAATAGGCAGCTTATGATAACGAAAACAGCACGCCAGCCTTCCCCTCTATCCGTATTCTCGACTCCCCTACTCTACGCCACTTTGTTCATTCATGCAAGTGCTCCACTCATTCTGTTTTCTTCTATGTTTACTTATACCCTCCACTGGGATATAAGTTTCTTAAGGGTAGTCATTTGGTCTGTTTGGCTTATTGCCAAGATCTAGAACAGTGCTTGAGTCATAAGGGCCACTTAATATTTGGAAACTGAATAACGTACATGGAATTTCAACGTTTTGGTTTCAACTGCTCCTGTCAGAGTAGCTATGCAGCCAGACTCATTGTTTTAGATTCCCAATCTTCAGCCTGGGCTGTGCACCAAATGCGGACTGAGGTTCTATAGAGCAGTATAAACAAATAATAAATAGGAAAGAGAAGTTAATATATACTAAGTCATAAACTAGATAACTGATATTAAGTTATTTAAAGTTTAATTATGTCCTGTAACCTCAGACTATTATGCTACCGTCTCTTATTAGTTTTTGTAAGTTGTAGGTCTTTATATTCAGGCTTTTAATAGAAGCAATAAAATACCTACCTATTTTCAAATTTGTTCTCTTCAATAGATACAGACTTGATTTACAACACATATAATTATAATAGTATCTTACCTATCTTTGTTCTCTGGTAATAGTCTAATTTTCAGATTTTAAAAAACTCACTTTTTCATGATGTGTAAATTTTAATAAAAAATATGAGATCTCTAAAGGGTAATTGATTTATTAAATCTTCTTGGTTAATGAAAAGAAATTCAATCTTCTTTGAGAAAGAAAATAAAGACTTTTTTTTATTTCAAGGGATGGAGAAAGGAAAAGTATGAGTGTTGAGAGGTAAGTTTTTGTTATTTTTGTTAATTGTTCATAATTCATGTTATTTTCAATTAAGTTTTAGTGAAATATCAATGAAATGAAAAATCTATTTGCAAATCACAGTAACAGTTTTCAGCAGTTCTCACACCTAAAGTAAATATTCCAGTACACTACAATGCCTTTTTTTTTGAGTCAGAGTCTCACTCTGTCGCCCAGACTGGAGTGCAGTGGCCACTTCCGGCCACCGCAGCCTTGACCTGCTGGGCTCCAGCGATCCTTCCACCTCAGCCTTCCGAGTAACTGGAACTATAGGCGCGTGCTACCATGCCCGCCTAGTTTTTGATTTATCGTAGAGATGAGGTCTCGCCAAGTTGCCCAGGTGGGTCTCGAACCCGCGGGCTCAGGCAATCCACTCACCTCGGCCTCCCAAAGTGCTGGGATTACAGGCTGAGCCACTGAGCCCAGCCAGCATTTTTTTTAATGTTAGTTTTTATCCAGTGAAAACCAAGCATTTTAGAATTTAATATCTTAATTTCTGGCTTATATGTATGTATGTGGACTGTTTCTGGAGGAATTCACAAGAATAAGCAGCTGGCAACATTGGCTGTCACTAGGGAAGAGAACTGAGTCACGGGGATGATGTTCGGAGGGGTACTCTTCACTGAATAGTCATTTACTCAGGGTTTTATACTCATCATTCTGATCTGTTCTTAGTGTCTTCCTCTGTTATGTTAATATCACCTGCAACTTCTTTCAATACTCTTTTGCAGATGAATTAAAAATATTTGCATGTACTCTTACCAGCCCTCCATTTTCAGCTGTCTGTTAGACAACCTACCTAGGTACCATGCTCCAACCCCTTAAATCTGATTAAAGATATTTCCCATTCAGAAAGTACACGTGAAACAATTGGAATGATTTGTACTTTCTTAAGATAATCTCTGTGACAGAATCTATATGTGCATATAACCTAATGTGTTTTAAGTTGTGGGGGCATTACCATATCTGTTGGTGACTTTAATCATCATCTTTTTGTAATATCGTAGAGACAACAAGAGCACAAATTGCTCCTTTGAATCAGCTTACTTATCCAAATGGTTTTCCATTATTTATATAGATCTTAGATATTTCTACTTAATTATAGCTTAGTTCATCTGAAAACTTTATTTTGTATGGTGGAAAATATATTTTAGTGCTTGGTCACGTAAACATACTATATCATTCCCAAATTTTCCTGAATTATAGTTAACTTTGTACTCCAATATCATTCTTGCCTTTCTAGGACATTCAATGAGATAAGTAAAGCAGAAGAACAGTACAGCTTGTGCCAAGAACTTTGCAGTGAGCTCGCTCAAGATCTACAGAAAGAAGGACTTAAGGTGCTTTATTTTAATATGGTATTCCTAGTTTTAAAATGCTTTAATAATAAAATGTTACCTCAAGGTAAGAGCTGGATTACACATTTCTTAATGATGAATACAAATGAGTAAATATCAGCATAGGGTGTTCCTATCCCCAACAGTCAGATACAAATTGAATTCTGACCTCATATCATAGGTTGGTGAAGTCATTCTACGAAGGAGCCATTTAGGAGGCTGGAATGATTCCAATAGAATCCGAGAGAACTTCGCTCCTGTACCTGAGCAGTACATTTGAACACGTTCAGAGCCAGAGTTACACTGGCATCAGAGAATAAGGCAAAGGAAAGGATTTCCCTAAAACTGTATTTGCATCTTATAATTGTCTTTCTAATCATCCTTTAATGCTTTTCTTGCATAGACAGAGACCTAGAATAGGCATTTGGTTTCAAGGCTCTGATCCAAGGTTACTTAACACACTGAGCACAAAAGCCTGAAGGGCTTTGAACTTTGTTTTATAATCTTCACTCACAACTGTTCATATTTTGTATTTTCCCAACACTCTCAAACCAGAGGTATGAGTTATTATAAAGCATAACTTAAAAAGTATTTAAAAAGGACTACATGGGTACAAATATACAATTTGATAGACGAAATGAGACCTAGTGTTCTATAGATCAGTGGGGTGCTATAGCGTATAATAATCTGTTATATACATCAAAATATCTGGAAAAGAATAATTTGAATGTTCTAGCATAAAGAAAAGACAAATATTTAAGGTGATGGATATCCCAAGTACACTGATTTGATCTTTACAAATTATATGAATGTATTAAATTATTACGTGTACCCCAAAATACGTGTCAACCAAAAAGTTATTTAAAAAATTACTATGAAGAATAATGGCATACCTAATGAATATTTTTCTCATAATCCTTCTCTATCATACCTTGAGTATAAGGTATAACATATAAAGTTCTTTTTAAAAAATATTTTAAATAAGCTTTTAATTTATAATCATTTTAGATTTCCAGAAAAGTTGCAAAAATAATAGAGTTGCAGTATCACCCAGTTTCCCTCATCATTGACATCTTATCATAGTACATTTGTCAAAAGTAAGAGACTGACAATAGCACATTGCTGTTAACTAAACTTTATTTAGATTTTACTTGTTTTTTTCATTAATGTCCTCTCTCTGTTCCAGGAGGAACATCCATGACTTTATGGATGATGTTAACCATCATCACTGGGGTCAGTAGTGTTTGCTAGGCTTCTCCACTGTGGAGTCTCTGATTTCCCCTTTGGAAGTGAGTCAGTAAGTCCAACCCACCCTCAAGTGAGGGAGGGCAGGAATCTACCTCTGGGAGATGCTAAAATGCACATATCATAAAATTTACCATTTTAAGTATGATTCAGTGGTATTAAGTACATTTACATTGTTCTGCAACCATCACCACCATCCATCCCTAGAACTTTTTCATTACCCACAGCTGAAACTCTGAACCCATAAAACACTAACTGTTAAGGGAGTTCTTACATGTACATTGTTTAGCACAGTATCTGGCACGTAGTTAGGCTCACAATAAGTGTGAGCTATCTATAAGTCCCTTTCAATGAGACACCTTTAGAAATAATTTTTTCTTCCCTTCCTTTTTTGGTACTGAATTAACCACTAAAAGAGGTTCAGTAAAATAAAAATGATCGGTTAACTTTGCCCTTTATATAAAAGTCTTTTACCACTTGTGCACCTAATCCTGAATTGTACCCCACATCTTTAAAATTAAAAAAGAGAGAAGAAAAGTCTTTTAAGAAAATTCATTTGAGGGGTGAATAATAATTATTGGCAAAAAATGGGATTTTAATTATTATGACAGTTTTTATCACCAAGTATATATACATAAGTGACCTTTCTGAATTTTTCTCACATGTAAATGACTTTTTTCTAGAAGTTAGAAAGTCATATATAAATAATATGTTCTATATGTTATAGGGTAGAACTGTTACCATTAAGCTGAAGAATGTGAATTTTGAAGTAAAAACGCGTGCATCTACAGTTTCATCTGTTGTTTCTACTGCAGAAGAAATATTTACTATTGCTAAGGAACTGCTAAGAACAGAAATTGATGCTGAATTTCCACATCCTTTGAGATTAAGACTTATGGGTATGACCTTTATTTTCTTGTTTTTCATTAAATTTGCTAGATTTTTCCCAAATGATCAACTTTGTAACTAGAAATGGTCCCTAACTTAATGGTAGTTCAACTTAAATTTTTTTGACTTTTGTGATGGTATAAAAGCAAGATGATTTCAGTACAATCTCAACTTACGATGTCATGTCCCAATAATAAATTGGATGGGTTTATTGGTATGTGACCTCATTATTAGCCAATGAGCACCCATGATTCTCACCTTCATTTTACTTATTAAATCTGTTTAGTAAGTTCCCGCTATGCTGCTGTCATTTATCTTAATTCTTAGAATCTGATATGTGTGAAGTCGTGATCATTAGTTTCATTAAAGTTGTTCTTTTCCTTACTACTTAATGAAATTCTTGAAGCTAGATAGTTTCAAAATTCAAAAATGTTCAGATTTTTAGAAAACTTATTCAGTGCATACAGAGTGAGTGTATTAGGTATACTCCTTTGGGGATCTGAGACAACACCCCATGATTAAACACATTAATATTTCTGTAGCAAAACAAAAATATACACCCCATAAAGACTTTAAATAATCTCGCATTAATTCAGTCATCAGCTGTCAGTTGTTGCTTACAATTTTCAGAACTTTACAGGAATGGGATTGTGACACTATGAAACCACATGTCCAGCCACTGCATGGTAAAAACTAGCAAATAAGACGTATTTCCAAAGGGAACTAGATAAGAGTATGTACACGGGGGACCCAAAAAAAATGGAATTTTTCTTGAATGGTGGACCTCTTGTAGTACAGGCTTCCCCCACTAAGTTAATTGTTAGGAACCCACTGGCATCAATGTACCAACTAGCGTTGTTGGGAGAGGTTGTATAGACTGTATTCGGCTTCAGTGAATTTTTTTTGGAGATTCAACATTTGCCCATTTCATGATAGGTAATTTGCAAGCTCACCAGCTCACACCACATTGAATGTTCAGTTTTTGACCCAAAACTTCATGACCCCTGTGTCCTAACCTCCCTATTCACCCAATCTTGCCTCTAGCAACTTTTTTTTTGTTGTTTCCCCAATAAAAAACGTCCTCAAAGGGAAATATTTTGCCAATGTGGAAGAGGTGAAACAAAAAACTGCAGAAGCACTAAAAGGCATCAAAATTGATGAGTTCAATAACTGGAGCAATGGAAGTGTCGTGATAGGTGTATTGCAGCAAACAGAGAGTACTTTGAAGGTGATTGAAGTTTACGTTTGTAAGGATAAATACACAATTATTTATGAATAGATTCCGTTTTTGGTGTTTTTTTTTTGAGTTGGAGTCTCACTCGGTCGCCCAGACTGGAGTGCAGCGGCCGCTCCCGGCCACCGCAGCCTCGACCCGCTGGGCTCCGGCAATCCTTCCACCTCAGCCTTCTGAGTAGCTGGAACTACAGGCGTGCGCCACCATGCCCGGCTGATTTTTGATTTATTGTAGAGATGAGGTCGAGCCAAGTTGCCCAGGCGGGTCTCGAACCTGCGGGCTCAGGCAATCCACTCACCTCAGCCTCCCAAGGCACGGGATTACAGGCTGAGCCACCGAGCCTGGCTTAGATTCCGTTTTTTTTAGGGTCTCCCTCATATATGGATTGGCACTTCAAATGCTCACTTTACTAGTAAGAGTGTTCAGTAGCCATATTTTCATATATGAAAGATCCAGCACACACTGGAATTGATTGAGTAAATTGTTAATTAAAAGAGCCAATGAGGCCGGGCTCGGTGGCTCAGCCTGTAATCCCGCTTGGGAGGCCGAGGTGAGTGAATTGCCTGAGCCCGTGGGTTCGAGACCCGCCTGGGCAACGTGGCGAGACCTCATTTCTACAATAAATCAAAAAAATTACCGCGCCTGTAGTTCCAGCTACTCGGAAGGCTGAGGCGGAAGGATCGCTGGAGCCCAGCACGTGGAGGCTGCCGTGGCCGGGAGCGGCTGCTGCACTCCAGTCTGGGCGACAGAGTGAGACTCCAACTCAAAAAAAGAAAGAAAGAAAGAAGTTAGCAAACTACGAAAAGACAAGGAGGAAACTTGACTGCATATTGTTAGGTGGAAGAAGCTAATCTGAAAAGACTTCATGCTGTATGATTCCAACTATATGGCATTCTGGAAAACATAAAATATGGAGACAGTAAAAATATCAGTGATTATCAGGGGTTAGGAGGGAGGGATGAATAGGCAAAACAGAGGAATTTTAGGGTGATGGCACTCTTCTGTATGAGTCTATAATGGTATATAATGTGATTATAAATTTATCCAAGCCCATCGAATGTACACCAAAGGTGAACAGTAATATAAACTGTGGACTTTTGGGCAGCAGTGTTGTGTCAGTGTAGGTTCATCAGTTGAAACAAATATACCACTTTAGTGCAGGATGTTGATAGAGGAGGAGATTGGGTGTGAGGGGAAGGGAGTATATGGAACTCTGTAACTTCTGCTCAATTTTACTGTTAACCTAAAACATCTCTATTCTGTAAGAAAGGGATTGACAGTGGGATTCTATCCAAGTGGTGGTAGGGACACAACATCAATAAGGGTATCTGATCTCAAACCAGGCAAAGTGGGGACCAAAGGGGGGCCCAAAGTTTATCTGCACGATGTCCACTTGTATACCTAATCCTGAATTGTACCCCACATCTTTAAAATAAAATATTAAAAAAGGATAAACACAATTTTTTAGAAATAAAAAAAACTCTAAAAATATTAAGTCCAAAGTCCAAAAAAGGAGCCAAAAAATCTGTATAGTTGATGCCAACTAGTTACTTAGAATTAGATAATATTATGTCATATATTAATTGAAAAGGTCCTGTTAATCATATCAACTCCAAATACGTGTTAATACTTAATGATACCCTTTTCCTTTTATAAAGGAAAGTAAATTTCCACTCATAATACTTTGAGAAAGCATTCTTTAATTTAGAAAATATATCCAATGTTACTTATTGCTTCTCTCTAACCAGCCTTTTGTCCCAATAATACCGTGCAAAATGTTTTTCTACATTGTGAGTGAATTGGCTTTGTTGAATATGAAATTGATTAATTGTGGTTGGTTTAATTTAGGTGTTCGGGTATCTAGTTTTCCCAGTGAAGAAGACAAGAAACATCAACAGAGGAGCATTATTGGCTTTTTACAGGCTGGAAATCAAGCCCCGTCAGCTACTGGGTGTATACTAGAGAAAACTGACAAAGGTCAGTTTGCAAATCCTCTTGAAATATCTCATAAGAAGAGTTTTTTTGATAAAAAACGATCAGAAAGGAAATGGAGCCACCAAGACACAATTAAATGTGCAACTGTGAATAAACAAAGTTTATGGCCATCACAACCATTCCAAGTTTTAAAGAAGAAGATGAGTGAAAATTTAGAAATATCAGAGAATTCAGATAACTGCCAGATATTTACCTGTCCTGTTTGCTTTAGGGAGCAAGGACACGTCAGTCTGGAGGCCTTTAATGAACATGTAGACGCCTGTCTTGATGTGCCTTTAATCAGTGAAAACTCTAAAATGTTGTCGTGTTCACATGCTTCTGCTACCGAAGTTAACAAGAAAGAAAATATACACCATTCTTTTTCACTTGGTGAGAAGCAAGATTATGAAGCCCATCTGAAAAATATAGAAATCACTTCAGTAGATTGTGCAGATTTGGTAGATGCTAGAGATAACTCATCTGAAGCTGAGAGTGTAGCTGCTTTAAGTAATAAGCACAGCAAGGGACATTCTAGTCTCCCAAGTACATCTTGTAATATTGAACACTGTCATCAGAATTCTTCTTGTACTGTTTCATTGGAAAATGAAGATGTTGGTTTATTAAGTAGACAAGAATCCTGCCAGCCTTATTTATGTGAAGTGGTAACAGGCCAAGCCCTAGTTTGTCCTGTTTGTAACCTAGAACAAAAGACTTTAAATCTAACCCAGTTCAATGTACACGTGGATATTTGCTTAAATAAAGATGTTATCCAAGAACTGAGAAAAGATAAAGTTAATCCAGTTAATCAACCCAAAGAAAGCTCCGGAAGTGCTGGTAAGTTTGTAGTCATTTTAAACAACTGAATTTTCTAGGAATATGTCTTATTAAAATTGATAAGACCAGGTGTGGTAGTTCATTCCTGTAATTCCAGCACTTTGGGAGGCCAAGGCAGGAGAATTACTTTAGCCTAAGAGTTCAAGAGCAGCCTGGGCAACATAGCAAGGCCTCATCTCTAAAATAATGTAAAAAGTGGAGCTGCATGGTGGCACATACCTGTAGTGCCAGCTCCTTGGGAGGCTGAGGCAGGAGGATCACTTGAGCCCAGGAAGTTGAGGCTACAGTGAGCCATGATCGTACCACTGCCCTCCAGTCTGGGCAACAGAGTGAAATCCCACCTCAAAATAAAATAATAAAATAGAAATACGTAAAATAATTGTTAAATCTGAAACACATACTATTAAAGGGATAGTTTGTGTATGCTGCCATTTAGGAAATTATTAGTTACCTTACCATAGGTTATAAATAACTCAAGCCAATAGACTGTGAATTTTGGGAAAACTATGGTTTGGGCTTGATTTAGCACAGAATGAACTAAAAAGTTTAAGGAGCTGAGTGATCTAATCGAAAAAGAAATTCCTTCAGAGAACATCTGTCAAGGCATAGTGGTAAATTAACTATAATTGCACAGCCTTTTAAACTTGTTTTTTGCTAGTGCTAACTCTATCCAGATTTTTAAAATAAAATTAAGTGTAATACTAGTAAAAATAGTAAGTTACAAAGACATTATGATATAAAGTTAGTTTTTGGTACTACTGTGTAGTACCAAAGAAGTTTTCACTATTTTTAATCAGTTGGTTTTAACTTTTTACACAGCTTTTCAGTTATTTCACATTACTCATTATGGAATTTATTTCCTTTTCTTACCTCTAAAGGTAGCTCGAACAGAGTACAGAAGACTAGAACAAGAACAAAAAGGTATGTCTAATTTGATCCTTAATGAAACTGGCTATAAAACTCCTATTTTGAGATCTAATTTTCAGGAAATGTTAACTTTTGCTTTTGTAAATCATTAAGTATTCAATATAAAAATCAGTTGTTTTATAAATTACCAAATAATCAATATTTAAAAATTAATTATTTTCTAAAACCTCTTCCTGCATTTTAAGTGTGTGTTCTTTTTTATTTTAGGACAGGACTGAAGAAAAAGTACTCAACATCAAAGAAAATAAAACAAAACAACCCCAAACACACCCTTGATATATTTTTTAAGTGAATATTGAATATTTTATCATTGATTTTTAATTCAAGCTTGTCATTTTATAATCAATTAATTCTTTTTCATTTTAAATGTACAGATTTTTGTTTTAATTTTTAATTTTAAAGATGTGGGGTACAATTCATGGTTAGGTATAACAGATTTATTTAGTTAAGGCAAGTGCAATAACCCTTCCCCAAATGACATTTGCTTTTCTACGAATTTGGAAGATATACTAATTTACTTCTGTATATCTTTCATATAATCATGACGATTTTACTTCCACCATATATCAGTTGGAAATAGATTTTATTAGAGATAATTAAAAAGAGAAATTAGGAATGGGATCAGAAGGTGATTTCTTTATTATTTTTATAGTAATTATGAAAACATATTTATAAGAGCTCTCAGAGGTCAACACAAACCTATTTTAGCATAAGAATTTTTCAGGACTTAACCACTTTGTTGGCATTGGTCTGCTATATTTAATCCTAATATCTTTAGATACCTCATGAACATCATAATTAAAATTTATCATAAGTTCTATGAACAATATTAGCATAACTAGAAAGAATGATTTTCTCACCTTTAGCAAATAATATCACAGTATTATCTGTGTTAAAAAGAATTTTTCTTAAAACATTATTTATTTGGTTTTTCTTATTTTAAATTCCTTTATCTTATTAATAAGCACTTGGTTCACTTTTTAAAATATTTATACTGGCTGGGTGCGGTGGCTCAAGCCTGTAATCACAGCACTTTGGGAGGCCAAGGTGAGGGAATTGCCTGAGCCCCCACGGGTTCAAGAACAGCCTGGGTAACTTGGCAAGACCTCATCTCTACAATAAATCAAAAAAGTAGCCAGGCATGGTAGTACATAACTGTAGTCCCATCTACTTGGAAGGCTGAGGCAGAAGGATCGCCTGAGCCCAGCAGGTCGATGCTGGTGTGGCCATGAGCGTACCACTGCTATCCAATCTGGGCAACGGAGTGAGACTCCAACTCAAAAAAAAAAAAAGAAAATTTATTCTAAGAGTCAAAGTAATTTAAAAAATATATGTAGGACTTTTAAAAGCAGTGTTTTATTTCTTGGCACTTTCCACAAAACTATAAAGAAAGATAAATTGTACAGTCATTTTATCTTTATTATAATATTTGAAAGAAAAATGTGCAATTCAATAGATTGTATATTAAAACATCTCACTTCTCTTACATTTCTATTAAGATTTTTATTAATTTCTGTGAAAGAAAACAGCTTAATAGTAGTTATCTTAAGTAGTTGCTTAAAACACTTTTGTGCTATCAATGAGTTCTTAGCATAAAACAGTTATTTAATTGGACCATGAAGATGGAAGCCATTTTACTACTTTGAGGTACTGAATTTTTGTCTTCATATATTTTTGTTTTCTCATTCCATACTTTTCCATTATAGCTCATTATCTAACTATATAGTTTATATACTATAATATTTTAGGGATAGAATAAGTAAGGTCCCACAAACTTTGGCAAATCAGTTACTTGACTTTTAATTACTAGATTGTTTAAAATTAGACTTAATACTTTGTTAGCATGTCAGTCTCATGCTGATGTCATTATACACTATGGCAAATACAAAGTTGTAGTGTTATGCTTCTTGATTGTATGATTTACTTGTGTAAATTCTGTACAAAATTAAGTTTAATAAAACATTGGTTTAATGTATTGAAAAGTAGATAGCATCATATCAAATTGTTTTCTGTCTTGCTTCAAGTTTATTTTTACTGTTTTCAACATTAGAGTAAGTACTAAATTATTTTCATTTAGATTATTCCTTTAGTTGAATGTTACTATTTTGTAATATTTAATAATCTTAAAATAATAATTTAAATAAGAATTAAAAGTAATAATTTAACTTTTAATTGTTCTGTCAGATAATAAAGATTATTTTCTTATTTTTCCATTCGTCTTCCTTCTAATGCTTTCACTCTTGCTTTCTCTGCCCAGAATTTTCTTTAGGTCCTTTACTGTTTTGTCAAATATATCCAACCAAACCATTTTCTTATTATTATAATTTTGATTTAGAGCATTTTTAGAAAATACAGGAAAACTACAAGGAATAGTAATAAGCACACATAATCTTACCTACTTAGAAGGATGAAGTATAAAGAAACAGAGAGAACATATTTGCAACACATGTAGGTAAAATTCTAGTGTCTGGGATATATATATATATATTTTTTTTTCCCCCCCTATAAATCAGTAAGAAAAAGATAGTCACTAGGAATTTGAACAAAAGATTTTAAATGGCCCTTCACATGAAAGAAATCCAAATCCCCAAGAAACATCAAAATATTCTCAGCCATATTAGTATTTGGGAAATGGAAAACAAAGCCACAAAGAGGTATCCTTACATTCCCACATATTCACAAAAATTAAATTATTCAACAGCAACTTTTAGTGATGATGTGAACTCTTACTGAAAACAATCATTTTAGAAAACAGTTTGTCCTTCTTTAGTAGATGTAAAGATAGGCACACTCAAAAACCCAGCAGTTCTACTCCCAGATATACACCGTGGTGGTGATCTTCAGTTCGTTCCCCAGACCCACGCTCCGAGCCTCTGTGCCCGCTCAGTGTTCAGCAAGACCCCAGGGCAATGAGGGGGCCACAGCAGGAGACATGAGGGAGGAGCGAAGGCGAGCTTGGCTACTTCCTTGCGGACCTTGCTGCAAGACGGTCACAAGCTGGCTGGGCCCCTGGACCAAAGGGCATAACTTCTGGTAGGCAGCCATCTTCATGCTGCGGTCTCGGCTTTTTCTAGGTTCTGATCATCCTTATCTTCTCTTGCCCCCTCAGACCGAGAATGTACCCTGGGAAGCATGCACGCGAATTTTCGTTTCTTTCTTTTTTTTGAATTGCAGTCTCACTGTCGCCCAGACTGGAGTGCAGTGGCCTCTCCCAGCCACCCAGCCTCGACCCGCTGGGCTCCCGCAATCCTTCCGCCTCAGCCCTCCGAGTAGCTGGAACTACAGGCGCGCCCTGCCATGCCCGGCTGATTTTTTGAGTGATTGTAGAGATCGGTCTCCAACCTGTGGGCTCAGGCAGTCCACTCACCTCAGCCTCCCAAGGCGCAGGATGACAGGCTGAGCCACAGAGCCGGCTGGTCGTCCTACTTTTAAGGAGCTTTCCTGGAAGGCCCACATAACCATCTCCACTTACATCTCATTGGCCAGCACGGGATCACATGACTCTCCCAGACTGAAGGGAACCTGGGGAGATGTCGTTTTTTCTAGCAGGGCACATTGCTATCACCCCAGAAATCTGGTTCTGTGTGTAAATTCTGCCTTAGCAAGCAAAGGTTCCTACCAGGAATGAAGTACGCACTGTGCTAGAGACTGAGGTAGTCAGTGGTGCCTTTTGCCAGCATGATTTCAGAAATTTCAGTGGGGGAGAAGGAAGACAAATTAGTCTGTTCATTCAACAATTATCTCTTGAGTAATTAGGACAGTGCCTGACAATAGGAGATACTTCATAGACACATGTTGAATTAGTTTTTTAAAAGATTCCTGTCCAACTACATAAATCCTGCTTAATGGTGCAATTTTAGAAGCATTCCTCAGGAACAACATGAGTGCCTTCTATTATTTTGCTGGATATCTTAGCCAATCTTAAAGATGACCATTTTCTCCACTTTGTTCTGTAAATTCAATAAAATTAAAAAGAAAATCCCTCATGATTTTTTTAAATTGATAAGTAGATCCTAAAATTTCTATAAAAGGACAAAGGACAAAAGTAATAGAAGGAATGGGCTCTGTTAGATAATAAGATTTATTATAAAGCCATAGTAATTAATAATATATATTAATAGAGGTATTGGCATAGGGATGGACATTTTAAACAACTCAATATAAAAAGTACTGACTAATAAGTGGTGCATGCATGATGGATTATCCGTTGAGAAAAAATAAATTTGATCTCTGCCTAACTGTCAGGACACCCTGAGGCTACCCTCAGGCCTGATAGTTTGCTAGAAGGACTTGCAGAACTCAGAAAAAGCTGTAACATTCATAGTCACAGTTTGAAACAATAAAAGATGCAGAAAAAGCACATGGGCAAGGTCCAGGAGAAACCAGGCACAAGCTATGGGGGGCCAGCCCCTTCAGAGACATTGAGAGGGTCCCTGGAAGGTGGGACAGCGTCGGCGATTATTCTGGAGAAATAAAGAGAAAGAGAGAGACTGGACTCTGTCTAGTGCAGAAGCCGATTCTGTAGTAGGGATAGATATTGAAAGAAAGATGGAGGGATAGATATAAAGAGAAAGAAAGAAAGTGGACAATTGTTCAGTGAAATGAGCAGAAGCTGTTTAATGGGACTATGAGTCTCTTATCGCAAATTTTCACATGTTAAATCACAAGACTTTCACGTGAACACAAGGCCAGGTGGATGAGGGGCTTACCCCCCACCCACCAGGTGTTTGCTTAAGCATGAGGAAGGACAATCCCAATCGAATCACAAGACTTTCACGTGAACACAAAGCCAGGT